GAATTGTGAACTCATTCTTGGTTACCACACACTTTCTTACATGTCGGAGTTGTGAAACCATTCTGGTCACCCAACACTTAAAACACCACGCTTTCTGACATGTCTGAATTGTGAACCAACTCTTGGTTACCCCACACTTTCTTACATGTCGGAGTTGTGAAACCATTCTTGGTTACCCAACACTATAAACACCACACTTTCTTACATGTCGGAGTTGTGAAACATTTCTTGGTTACCCCACACGTTCTTACATGTCGGAGATGTGAAGCCATTTTTGGTTTCCTCACGCTTTCTTGCATGTCGGAGTTTTGAAACCATTCTTGGTTACCCCACACGTTCTTACATGTCGGAGTTGTGAACCTATTCTTGGTTACCCCACACGTTCTTACATGTCGGAGATGTGAAGCCATTCTTGGTTACCACACACTTTCTTACATGTCGGAGTTGTGAAACCATTCTGGTCACCCAACACTTAAAACACCACGCTTTCTGACATGTCTGAATTGTGAACCAACTCTTGGTTACCCCACACTTTCTTACATGTCGGAGTTGTGAAACCATTCTTGGTTACCCAACACTAAAAACACCACGCTTTCTTACATGTCTGAATTGTGAACCAACTCTTGGTTACCCCACACTTTCTTACATGTCGGAGTTGTGAAACCATTCTTGGTTTCCTAACGCTTTCTTACATGTCGGAGTTGTGAAACCATTCTTGGTTACCCAACACTAAAAACACCACGCTTTCTTACATGTCGGAGTTGTGAACCTATTCTTGGTTACCCCACACGTTCTTACATGTCGGAGATGTGAAGCCATTCTTGGTTTCCTCACGCTTTCTTACATGTCGGAGTTGTGAAACCATTCTTGGTTACCATCTCTTTCTTACATATCGGAGTTGTGAACTCATTCTTGGTTACCCCACACGTTCTTACATGTCTGAATTGTGAACCAACTCTTGGTTACCCCACACTTTCTTACATGTCGGAGTTGTGAAACCATTCTTGGTTTCCTAACGCTTTCTTACATGTCGGAGTTGTGAAACCATTCTTGGTTACCCAACACTAAAAACCCACGCTTTCTTACATGTCGGTGTTGTGAAACATTTCTTGGTTACCCCACACTTTCTTACATGTCGGAGATGTGAAGCCATTCTTGGTTTCCTCACGCTTTCTTACATGTCGGAGTTGTGAACCTATTCTTGGCTACCCCACACGTTCTTACATGTCGGAGATGTGAAGCCATTCTTGGTTTCCTCACGCTTTCTTACATGTCTGAGTTGTGAAACCATTCTTGGTTACCCTCTCTTTCTTACATATCGGAGTTGTGAACTCATTCTTGGTTACCACACACTTTCTGACATGTCTGAATTGTGAACCAACTCTTGGTTACCCCACACTTTCTTACATGTCGGAGTTGTGAAACCATTCTTGGTTTCCTAACGCTTTCTTACATGTCGGAGTTGTGAAACCATTCTTGGTTACCCAACACTAAAAACACCACGCTTTCTTACATGTCGGAGTTGTGAACCTATTCTTGGTTACCCCACACTTTCTTACATGTCGGAGTTGTGAACCTATTCTTGGTTACCCCACACGTTCTTACATGTCGGAGATGTGAAGCCATTCTTGGTTTCCTCACGCTTTCTTACATGTCGGAGTTGTGAAACCATTCTTGGTTACCATCTCTTTCTTACATATCGGAGTTGTGAACTCATTCTTGGTTACCCCACACGTTCTTACATGTCTGAATTGTGAACCAACTCTTGGTTACCCCACACTTTCTTACATGTCGGAGTTGTGAAACCATTCTTGGTTTCCTAACGCTTTCTTACATGTCGGAGTTGTGAAACCATTCTTGGTTACCCAACACTAAAAACCCACGCTTTCTTACATGTCGGTGTTGTGAAACATTTCTTGGTTACCCCACACTTTCTTACATGTCGGAGATGTGAAGCCATTCTTGGTTTCCTCACGCTTTCTTACATGTCGGAGTTGTGAACCTATTCTTGGCTACCCCACACGTTCTTACATGTCGGAGATGTGAAGCCATTCTTGGTTTCCTCACGCTTTCTTACATGTCTGAGTTGTGAAACCATTCTTGGTTACCCTCTCTTTCTTACATATCGGAGTTGTGAACTCATTCTTGGTTACCACACACTTTCTGACATGTCTGAATTGTGAACTCATTCTTGGTTACCCCACACGTTCTTACATGTCTGAATTGTGAACCGTTTTTTTTTGGTTACCCCACACTTTCTCACACATCAGAGTTATGAACGGTTTTTGGTTACTCCACGCTTTCTCACACATCAAAGTTATGAACCGTTTTTGGTTACACCACACTTTCTCACACATCAGAGTTATGAACCGGTTTTGGTTACCCCACGCTTTCTTATATATCTGAGCTGTTTACTTATTCCTAATCACGCAGTTAAATGTCTTAAAAGTGAACCCATCCTTTGAACCCATCCTTTGTTACACTTTAAATGTTTATACGCTTCCCGTTGTAATAAATGTCTATTATAAATAGGGTTTATTACGTTAGGGAAACTGTTTTCAAACTACTGCTGCAATAGCACTGAATGTTCATTTTATAGGTACACCCACTATGTTAATTAATATTAATGTGATTTTAATACACAACCTTGCACACGTTCTCACAAGTCTTATTTGTAAATTCAAAGCTATAAACATTTGTTATTAAATTATCGCATATTTACCGCAGTATAATTTCAAACAAACAGATTATAACTTTCTAAAAATCCTTCCAGTTAAATATATCTCTGAATTAACGTTCCGCTGTTGAATGATGGAAGAAAAGGCTACAAAACCAATTACTGTCATATATTAGCGTCTTGTGTTTTTATTATTAAATGCGTTGTTTAGCACAACAGAAATTCAACTTTGTTAACATCGTCATGGTATCGAACAAAAATGGTGCTAACTATCAAGGTTGCTTATTCCGACACAGGTCTATTTGAAATAAGTCTATAGCATTTCAATACTAACTTTCACAGAGACAGCAGCGGATGCTCTCTGAATCTACTTGTTGAAGAATGCATTTTACCTTTAGCGAAAGAAATATAAAACTGACTGTAAATAAGGTTTCAAAGTCTACAGATACTTTAAATGTCAGTTTCTTGAAAATAAAGTCTTCTTCGATTTGTCTAATCGTTTTGGTCGAATTTTTCCACCTTTTAATTTCTTTATTTATTTCATAAATCAAAATTTTAAAACTATATATATCGGACTTGAAAGCATTGTCACTAGCTATGATACCATGTCTTAGAAATAATGAACAGCTAGATCATCTGAAATTGATGTTTAAAACATAAATTAAAAAGAATTGAACTTATACAATTGCATAATATTAATTAAATCAATTCCTGATAATCTTTAACAGACATTGCTGCACTGTCATATGAATGTTATCATACTGAGATGTTTTAATGCATATCATTATCGTTTAGTGAGAACAAAAAGAAGTTATTGCTCAACATATATTTAAATGTACTTATGTAATATAAAAAACATATACAATGAAAATATCAACAAGACGATTTTAAAAATATGTTTTAAAATCATTTGCATTATTTCTTTGCTGGTTATATCAATTTTCTGTGGCTTTTGTTTTCCAGAAATATTAAAGAAAACGGATACTATGTTTATTACTTATAGACTCTAGATCCAGTTATGATATATTTATTTGATATTAATTTTAATTAGTATATTTTACGTATATGTATAAAGATGGAAGATTACAGTTGCCTAAGAACAGCTGAATGTTTTAGTAGCATCGTCGGAATACTTTTGGCTCCAGATCGGACACGTACACATGTACATACAGCCGTAGCCTGTTTTGAGCCTAATGTTAGAGTTTAACAATATTTAATTTATCGTTCTTCTAAAACCTGCACTAGTCAAATGTACCCGGAAACCAAGAGATATTTTAAAATAATAATGATAATAATGATAATGTCAAGACAGTAGTTTTGAACATTGCCCAGTGGGTTACTCGAATTTTCGGTCAAGCTATCAGTGATGGTAGACCTTACCTTGTTTTTCGACGGTGAACTGGTTATTTCATAAACTTTCCCATTTATATTTCATTGTCTGGCCAACTTAGTACTGTGAAAACGGATTATTCCTATGAATAAAATGGCTAAAATTAAGCGTGTGTCCCTCAAAAAGAATACATGATAGACTAGATACATTATATGCATACATTCGTGAACACAGACAGGCCATTGTCACCACATTCTCTCGTCGCCATATTTGTTTATATTTGTGAACTTCCGGAAAGATCATGATATTGGCATTGTCTAAAAAGATATCTGTCTTAATGAAATGCATTACATTTAAGATATTCGAGGATATAACATAGCATACTTAATTATAGCAATGCTAACTTTCATAAAAAAAAATCAAAATATTTGTTTTTAGATATGAAACATTCGTGCCCCGCTTGTCACCATACTATGAGAACACACAAATGACGATGGCGTGTTTTTTAGTGTTGGATTAGAATTGATCAAGATTTAACAGTAAGGCCGAACGACCAATAGTCTATGACTAAACCGTTGAACTGGTATCCAAAAATAGTAAATATATGAACTAAAGACTGAAACTAGTAGCAAAATTATTGATTTTTCAGGAAATAGTGACATGTACGCTATGCACAGATTAACTCTGTCGCAAATAAAATACTCATTATTATTATATTTGATAAAGCAGTCAATCAGAAACGATAAAATAACATTTATCTGAAGTATGCGTGTCTTTATCGTTAAACATTTAAAAGAGAAAGTGTGTTAAACATCATTTAAATCAATGTTAAACTGATACGACAAACACAATATGCGATTGAATGGACCGCCATTGAAAACTTTTTTGCATAACATGGGGTGTTTTCAGTGAGGTACGAGTAAATTGTATATATCTGTGGGAGTTCGTTGTATTGATCACACTTGCATTTGACTGAGTATCAAAGCTCTGAAAATGGCACCAAGTCCGAGAAGACGTTCGAGGTCGAGAAGCAGAAGCAGGAGCCGAAGTGCGTCCCCAGCTAAAGCAGCAATGCCAAAGTCTGCGAAGAAAAGCCCAAAGAAGAAGGTAGCAAAAAAACCAGCTTCAAGCCCGAAAAAGCGTTCGAGGTCTCGCAGTAGGACAAGAAGCAGAAGCCGAAGCGGTTCTCCATCTAAGGCAGCTAAGCCAAAGAAGGCAAAGAGTCCTAAGAAAAAAGCAGCCAAGAAGCCATCAAAAGGAGGAGCTAAGAAGCCCACGACTCTATCGATGGTCGTTGCAGCTATCAAAGCAATGAAGGACAGGAAAGGTTCATCTGTTCCGGCAATCAGAAAATACATCATGGCTAACTTCAGCAAGTACCTAACTGCCAGCAGGGTGACATCATCTGTTAGGATTGCTTTGGCACGTGGACTAAAGACCGGGGCACTGGTAAGACCCAAGGGATCTACTGCTACTGGAGCAACCGGGCGCTTCAGGGCTGGAAAGGCAGCGCCAAAGAAGGTTAAGAAACCAAAGAAGAAGACTCCAAAGAAGAAGAAAGCTAAGAAGCCAAAGAAGGCAAAGAAGGTTACCAAGAAAACTAAAAAACCCAAAAAAGTTAAGAAGGCAAAGAAAGCGAAGTCATCTAAGAAAGCAAAGAAGGTCACCAAGAAAACTAAACCCAAAAAGGTAGCGAAGTCATCTAAGAAAGCAAAGAAGCCTGCGGCCAAGAAAGCGAAGAAGCCAGTCAAAAAATCTGCTTAGCTTTCTTTCCAGCCTTTTTAGCTGAAAATTTAAAGGCCCTTTTAAGGGCCACCCAATATTCACAAAAAGTTGCCACAATGCTCGAAAAACGCATAACCTAAAAACATTAATTGTCTCGTTGGTATGGTGTGGATACAAGACCATCCTCTGCATTTCATTCACAATTGTAACTGTTATGAAAACCTGAAAATGACTTGTTTCATAAAGTTCTTGTCAAACAAGTAAACCTGCTAATCCCGTTGTTTTGGATGTTTTTTTTTTTTTTTAATTTTTTTATGTTTTTTTTTTTTTACCAAACCGATATAAACAGAAATATATCTCTGGAATTTTCTTTGAAAAATACCGACTTTAAAATGACCTGATTTACACTTCTACATATAATTAATTATTTTTTCACATGAAAGTTCAAATATGGTGTTTATATCAATTGGTATGTGTACTTAAACTGATGGTTTTCTTTATTTACCTGTCAAGCATTAACAACTTTGACAAGTAGGTGCTACAAATTGGTATATTTACAATAACTGTTAATTTGAAGTACACGACACAAAGCGTTTCATTGAACATGAAATAATAGCACACTTCCTTCATAACAGTTTGTGTTTTCCCCAAACAGACTGCAAACCATATAAGCAGGAAGTTTTGTTTGGTGTATGCAATGCTTGTCGATACACATCGATACTACTGTATTATACAACACATCGCGTGAAACTTTTTCCTTTCTTAATATCTTTTTATTTTTGGTTTTTGTCTGTATTTTCCCCCTTTTCCTTTTAAAGAAAAAATAATCAACACACTACATTTCGGGGTGAACTTTCGTAAAAAAGAATAAGTATGAAATACGCCATTCATTTGATTAATCTAGAAGGGGGAGGGGGTACATTGTTGCGCATCTGATAAAAGCAAAGGTTTACTATTCGCACTTATTATTAAGGTTATCAATTCACATTTTTTCAGTGATGCTTTGCATTCAAACGATGGGAGCATTATATTCGCTGTTTTGCACTTAAATCCAAATGTGATTGGTCAGTTTATGCGAGATAAATTGAGTTGTTGGGTCGACCAGTCATTCGATCTAGGTCATATTAATTGGGTTTAACGCATGGACCGGTATCCGCCCGTGTAAATCACAACAATGCCAAACACCGCGTCTAAATTCCAGGTTCTCCATCCCTCCGTATACACTAGTGGTGCCAAGTCCTCAAGACCACGTGCAACCCCTGAGAGACACCGTCTCTTGTTTGGTACAAACATTGGGCGGGGCGGACTTTTGATACCAATATCCCCTAACACTTAATGTTTGGGCGGTATACGGCACGCATATTTTGGAACAAACCAGCCTCAAAGAAAAGTCTTGCGTGTAGCATACATATAGTTGTTTGAGAAATCAACGAAATCAGAACAAAACTTTTAAACTGGTTGGTAATGTGGGTTAGAATTTACGAATGAAAAGTGAAAAAATCAAAATCGTCGCCTGTGTGAAACTCTTTTGGCCTTTGGAAGTAAACTAACACTCCAGATTTATGAATCCAACAAGTCTCCAGCTGTTTTTATACATGAAAGTTTCTCTAACCACTTGTTCATTACAACTTAAACACTGAGCAACTAGAAACTAGCTTAATTAAACTAAACTGAAGGTTTTAATATCTGTAATTAAAATTAACGCCAGCAGAAGTCATAACCCATCTGTGACTAATACAATGAAACTGATTTCAGTTCACGTCTACTCTACTTTTTATAAAGGCAGTTGGTTCATTCGGTTATACAAATATACCCTTACTCTGGTCTTGGTTTCGTTCAGTCGTGTTGTTGTCCTGTGGTCAAGTCAGGTGGGAATTTCTGCCGGCCAATCAGGCGAGAGGTGGGCGGAGCTTGTAACCGAACGCACTTTCAATGCTGTAACTCGTACCCAATCCCCACCTTGTACTGAATGGCTGTGTTGCATGTATATCATGTTTCAAAGAGTTAAATCTGATAATCTCATGTTTAATAGTTCTGCTTCACGCTCTTAATATAACTTAAACTCCTGCCAATCATAACACAAACGTTAAGCTGAAACCGCAATATCATCTATTTGCAAACTCTAGTCTGCATCATTCTCAGTTCTTGACCTCGATATTTTTACGGCAAAGACCCACACCGCAGTTTAGACAATGACAATAAACATATTGTATTAAAATATAATACATACATGATAAACACTTGACCCGGTAAAGTTGATAGTTAGTCACATGACTTGTGTGTGTCTCAAAAATCAACCAAGAATAATTGAGGATAATATTTTATAGTAAATCTATACCAAATCTGACATACATAACCTTGACATTAGAGCTGGGAACCCATTGCAGTGTTTGCCAGGGAAAGACATATCCAGCTCTCCTTTGATGTCAACAATTTTTTGACACATTTCATTGGCGATTTATGAGGATGTATACCAATCATGACAAAAACTTTCCAATATCTTTATGATAGGAAAGTAAAGGAGAAAATAATCAATTACCTCTGCTAGATGTGGACTGGCTTATATCAACCTTCTATCAGCTGCTCTTTTTTTTACAATATCAAACCATTACCTTTAAGCCAAGATACTTCAGTCCATATAACACAAGTGAAATATTCTACTCCTCACGTTAGTAATCAAGAAACATCACTCTTAGTAGAGTAAGTCCATTTGAAATCAAGAACAACAACTTTACTTTTCATAGTTGGACTTTTTATTATCAAAAATAAAATATACAAAACACAGATTTGATGCTTTGAAGGTAACATTCTGATCCATTGGATCCTAAGACTCTACCGCTCATTAAACACCCTCTATAATATGAAATATTTACATTCAATATGCTAAAGGTTTATTAAGAATTTCATGAAATATCATTGATGTTGCCCCCACCTCCCACAGCTGTGCCCCTTTACTTACATTTTTATCTGCCAGCCACCTCAATAATAATTAAATAATTAAAACCTCTGATTGCTTTTTCATTTGTATGTATATAAAATAATATCTAGTTGATATATAAATTTTTTAATACCATATTTTCTGTTCAATAAGCCTAGGAGGCTAATAATCACCTTTTACTCAAGTAAAAAAAAAAATTGTTTTACCACAGGATATTCAAAAACATTGTCTCTTATGAGACAGTAATTTTACAGTACCTAGGTAACAGATATGGGTGTGCTTATTACCAGATTTGGACCTACAGTAATATAAACATGATACCACTTTTTAAAAGAACTGTGTCCCATTTGCAATATTTAAAGCCATGTTTTGATATGATTAAACTCAAATTTTAAATCCAATTTAGTGCAGCTTAAGATATCTCGTTACATGTTAATAGTATGTTTAATATATATATACTGGTAAGTGTATGATAGTAAATGTGTATTTCTTGAGACTTGTAATTGAAATAAGCTTATCAAATGTAATATTTTATTTTAAAAAACATCTATTGATGAGACTTGACTTACTAAGTATGATGATACAACACATAAAACTGTATAATCACATTCCACCACACAACAATACAATAAATCTATGTTGTCAATTTCATTTAAAATCAATGTTAAATCAATAATAAATCATGTATAAACCAATACTCTACAAATAGCACCAATAGGGGCAGCCACCAATATCTCTTTGTTACAGCCTTTTATGTTGGATAAAAACCAAATTATAAAATAAATGATACAACAAAATCATGGAATAATGGCATTTTAGCATGTAAATTTAACCGATCCCAAAAAGTCAAATAATACTGCAAACAATTCACTAGAATTCATCTTTTTGTTTTCATTAGATTATGTTTATATACAGAACACATGACATTTCTAATTAATGAAAAATGAGAAAATTAGTGTTAAATATATAAACAGTCAGCGCTTTTAAATCTGCACTACAGTACTTAGTATTGCACACAAATGTAACATATTTAAAGTAATTTTTGGGACTAGGATAGTTGAGTCCTGGACTAACCCTTTTCCTGTGGGAATTTTAAATTTTAAAACCCCATTATATCTCTTAATAATAGTAACTCACTACAATTATGGAAATGGTGTTCTTGACTTTCCAGCAAAATACATACAAAAATACAATTAAATACCTACAGATACGCATACTTACTGTGTTGATTTAATCAACCTGTACATATATGTCTACAAAAAAAGACTTCCACAATTGACTCAGAATACTAAACTGAACACAGTTTTTACCTGAAAAGAAAATACTCATTTGTTTTTTGAAATCTGACTCAAGGGAAACTACTCTGACACAAAAATCAATTACAATAAAAATTGCAATATATGTAGTTTGTTAAGGATATCAAATAACTAGTATCTATGTAACCTGATAATCAATAATATCTTGGTCAATCAGAAATTTCATAGTAAGATATACAAAATACTAAAAATAAAAAGAAAGAAATCATCCAATAAACCTAATTCTAAAATTTCAACACAATGGCAAAATAGTTTTTGAAAGCTAGAATTCCTCACACTGGCATACATAATATATGAACCAATCACAATTATTGTCTTTAAATCCATTGTATACTTACTACTCTGAGTTTTTTCTCTTCACATATTTATTTGCTACTGCTCAACCATTGCTTACTTTTCTCATCAGATTTAACTGAAAATTGATATCTATTTATGAATGATTTTGATATTAATGTAAAAAGTGAATAAAAGATGAATAAATACTTTTGTAAAATCAATATCATACAATATTGACCTATAAAGTGTCACAACATAAAAATGACATGTATACCCATCAAACTATAGATGGAAATCAAAAATCACAAAATCAAATGTTTTCAAACACTTGTGTACCTGCTAAACTACTTTCTTTATATGGTTCTCTATTGATAAGGTTTGTAAACAAATTCAGTTAACACATACCATTCACTCCACAAAGAAAATTAATACTGAATAAGCTTTGCTATCTAAACCCCAATTTCAACCTAACCTTAGGCCATGAAGACCAAATTGTAATTCAAATTCAGATTAAAGAATTGAATCAAATAAAATACAACTTTTTATACAACATCCATAAAAAATAGTAAAATAAAAAAAATAACAGAAAGCCCAGGCAGCACAACACAACTACTGTTTTTTAGCATGAACATGCATGGATTGTTTCACACCCTAACCAATATACCTGGTTACAAGACAACCCTTAGTGCACTCTGATGTTCTAATTTCCCTCGCTAGGTCCATGAGACCTATTTGTCATTGTAGATAACATCAATCATCTGATATCTAATTTGCTATCATAGTTACAACAGATTAACTGATATTGGTACTATTATCAAATAAACACAAACAAACCAAATGACAACATAACAAAACATGACAAGATATCACAAAAAAAAGAAAAGAAACCAAATTAAAAAAAAAACAACTTTTCTCTGTCTACTAATAATTTCAAGACTTATTTTTTTTTGCTGTAAGTTCCATCAACAATAAACTGCAGTAAATACAAGCAGACATTGATGGGCGGGGCATTATCATACATTCCTTTCACTACGTTTCCGACATATTTTATTCACCACATGTTACAGAACATCAATAAACAAATTATGTAAAATCAGATAATCACAAACTACTGTCTTAAGTCATTTCTTAACTTAAGCATGACCAACACAAAATGATTACAACCTTTACTATGGATTTTCTACTCATTTAAATGTCTGGCTTTATTTTCTGATAAGATGTCAACCAAAATAAAGATATTCTTTGCTTCCCTTTTCAATATTAATTTTTTTCCAATAATAAATTTAACTTTTAATCTTCAAATATACATTGAACACATACGCACAAAAAAAAAAAAAAAAAAAATACTGTAAATTTGAATTTATCCTTACAGTGAACAGTGTCTTGTTAAAATAACTGATAACTGACTCCCTAATTAACAATGCAGTGAACTTACATTTGTAGTAAACAAAATTCTATATACAATCTATTTTTACATCATTACCGAACACAATATCTCAATACCACTTCTTGTTTCTGAAAACGGTTGGAAATTTCAATTTGATAGTATCAGCTAATATGTCATTTTGTTGCCATAATGTTCGTAAAAAGTAACAATTTTAGGATGATCTATTAAAAACGAAACAGTGAAAATATACAGTTTTTCTTCAAATGGTTGTTTTTGAAACTTATTACATTCTAAATTTCTTCAGTATCTATCATATGTTTTACATTGTGACAAACCACTAAATATTCAACCTTATTTCATACAAACCAATATATTTCTGGTATGTTATATCTGATGTTTATGAGAAAACTTCTGAAAGGATTTGTTGTTATTTATGTTTAAAAAAACAAACAAAAAAATAAAAAAAAGAAAAAAAATCCCAAAAAACAAAACAAAAAAAACAAGATAAAAAAATAAAAAAAAAAAAAAAAAAATGAAGTTGGGGATTACGGGTATGCATTATACTTTCAACTATCATTAGCTGTGTTGCTTAAAATTACATATAGTTCTGATTATCACAAGAAAAATACAACTATAATGAATGAAAATACAACAAGGCTCCTAATCCCTCTTGGTCCGGAACAGTTTGATTGACTTCAATGCTTTCTGTCTCTGTCTATACATTGTGCCTATTAAATAGTAACCCGCTGAAACAGAACATGTCAACATTAGTTTCTGCAATTATACTATAGACTGATTAATGATGATGTTTATATCTTTAAATAAAATAGAAATATTCTGACATGATCAAATAATTCATTACTTCACCAGAGATGTGTTAACCAATACAGTCTAACTTTGCTAACTTAAAAGAGGAGAGAATTTGGGAAAATCCTAAAGTTATCTAAGTGCTAAAGTTAAGCCAAGATATTAAAAAAAAAAAATCACTTACCTGGAATGAATATACCTAAGTAGGTTTTTAAAAACCATGGGAAATAAAATGAGAAGTTACAAGCATTCGGAAGGAATACAGAAAATTTCTCTGTGTCTTCATAGAAGGGAATAGCCAACACAACAATTAATGCTGGAAAAAGAAATAATAGAGTGATTACCTCCCTTAGACCAATTATCTATCAAGTGTCTCCCTTTAACCATCACTTATTTATCAACCATAATACTTTGTATCGATTGAAAACTTTTGCTTTTTATCTTTATTGCCTTAACCAAGCACAGAAGACAAATACAAGAAATAGGATTTTTTTACATCATATTCAATATGAGTTTGAAATAGCAAAATTTGCCTGAAAACAATGCAATGATTTTGATTTACCATTATGCCCACTGCAGCCAATACATGAAGTGAGTTAACATGTTTACAGTTTACATAGCGATCAAAATAATTTTACCCGCAATACGGTATCAATCACTCATTCATCAACAAGTTCAACAATATACAGTGTACTTTTAACGCCACCAATATTTTATACTTTTATCCGACTAAAGACAAGAATGAAGAATAAGGCAAGTAATTCTTGGTAATAAAATTTTATCAGCTAGATACAGAGGTTTTCAGCAAACACCAAAAATTACCTTACAGTGTCCCAATGCAATAAAATCAACAGAACAATAACTTTTCCAAATACTAAGAAGAAAAGGAAGAGGAAATGAAGAGTTACCCTGTGTAATCAAACAAAAGTTAAGAAACTTACCCTCAGTAAGAAAACCTAGGGGATAAAGGGGAATCCAAGCAGTATAGCGACACCAGGTGATCAAATCATTCTTCTTGCCAAACAATGACAGTATGTAAAATGGATACCTGATAAAGCAAGACAATATGTCAGTGAAACCTGTTTATAAATACACCCTTGCTGTTTATTTTTTGCGCTGTTTGTTTGTATATTACATACAAGTTGATTATGGCATAATGAACTTTTCTTGCTTCAAAGACAGACCAGAAACATTTGCATGTAAATATTGTCAAAATAATGATACTTTTTATTACCTTGGACTAAAAGACACTTAAGTGCTCTTTATGGACTGTTTTTCTCTAACAAACATATTCAAATAAGTTATACCATCCTCATATGAACGAAGCTATATATAGAGGACATAAAAAAAACCTATACAGTATTAGCAAAAACAAAAATGAAGTTTTTGCAAATTGTTTGAAATGGAATATATGTGTAATATGCAAACATTTGGGTCATACATATAAACATGCACTTGTAACTTCAACCAAGAAACTGCCCAATACAGTACAATGCATTGAATTTAGAGTAAGTTATGAGCCATTATCAAATGCACTTTAATTTTAATTGTATAAGGAATGACACTTGACAATAAGCGTGGCTAGTGTGACAGGTTTCAAGATGAAGTTCTTCCAACTTCTTGGAAGGTACTTTCATTTTAAAGATGAAGTAATTATGATTAGTGTTAACTCCTGGATAGACCTACCGTACAATTTCTATACCACTCCAAACCATAAAGAGGATCAACAGTAATGAATGCTCATGAAGTCTTGGTTCCTGTCCCACAACAATAAACAAGACAAAGTTCCGACCCATAACCTGTAAATAACATCAACAACACTCCTTACCATTCATTTTATACTTTTGTATTTTGAAAAACATTGTTAAAATTAAAAGAACAAAAACTGAAAATTAAAACAAATTGAATGTACTGTACAGCCAATTATTTACACTGGGATGATATTTTCACTATTTCAAGGTTCATAAAATATGATTGCAAAAATTTAATCAGTGAAATAATGAGACATTAGTGTATCACCTGTGATTTTACATCCAGATCATACAATTTCCATTCATTAAAATGTAATTCAACCACTTTATTAGCAAATCACGAAAATTTTGACATGAGAAAATTACCCGCTGAACAAATCCTTATTAAAATTTGATGTTTCTTTCCAATGGATTATACTGAAATATCCACAAGCCTATACTTTTCTTGTCGCTTAAGAAGTATGAAATAGTAAAGTGATTAATCAGTACAACACTGACCACAATGTCTATGCTAATAACAACTTATATGAGTTTCCTCAGATCTACCTTTATACCTTCGTACCAATGTTAGGCATTTAAACTGATCTAGATGCAATTCCTAAATGTATATATAGATATTGATAGCCCATTAAGATCTTCAATTTATTAAGTTTTGGTAGGCAATCATGATATAATGGTTCTTTCTATGAAGCTGAAAATGTTAATTGCCCATATATCAAATTTTCTTGTTATTATCACCTGCATGAAGGCTGGAATTGGACTAGATTTCACCCAGCCCAGTAAGGGATGAACGATTTCCAGGACGGCAGCTACTTGTACAAACATTATTTGTGTTCCCGAAATTTCCAGCGTATTTGAAAATGCATCTGAAACAAGATCAGAAAATTTTCATAAGAAACAATCTGAGGACAAAATCAAATTCTGTTGACAGTTTTTCCAAGATAATCTTGAATTGCATTCGAAACATTGCTCATAAGCTGTGATTATATTTTACAGGACTGAATTTACTAAATTAACTTCCAACTGTGATGATTAGTAAGTGTAGTAATAATGTGGCTTACAGTTTATATCTTTGAAACAGTTGTATGCAAGTGCTGTGAAAATATAAGTAAAACCAATGAACTGCATCAGGTTGTACACAAACAGGTAGCAAGTCTTAACGTCTGGAAATGGCTCTGAAACACAAAACACAGATACAAAATCTTAAAATACAACTAACCAGAGACAGAAAAGTAATTGAAACAAAGTACTGTATATATAATGAAAAATATGAACTCAGTTACCAGTGATGATATTGAAAGATAATTTCATTTTAGTTTTATAACAGATATTTATGTGGCACAGTTTATTTAGTAAGTTTTAAAATCTGCAACTACAGTATGCCTAAAGCATTGCCTGTTTCTGTAAACCTGACTGACCCAATACTGGTAAGTTTAAGTCTGATATGCTGAATATTTGAGGCAATTTTCATTGAAGAACTATCAAGGACCAGATTCTTTCTCTCTATATATAAATGAAAACTAATTAAATATAAAAAAAGAAAGAGCTTTTCCAACTGACTTACCTTATTTTTTTTTTTTTTTTAGGGAGGGGCGGGGGGTGGGGGGAAAGGGGTGGGGGGCATGTTAGCTGAAGCATATGTAATCATTTTAAAGCCTCATGATTTTTCACCTTACATCTGTTTTAGTTACACTATCCAAAAATAGACATGAACTTAAATAGGAAGCTCAAAAATGATAACTAAAATATAAAACCATTATATATGAATTGGACCCAATAGATTACACTGCCATATGGATGAATCTATGTTGCGTTAATTAAAACTAGATACATTACTATATTAAAACTTTCCTGAAAATTCCATTTTCATTTTTCTCAGTAATAAAAAACTACCAATGGCTAGTTATCAAGTATACAACAACATATGATGTTTCATAACCTGAAATCGTGACCTTAACATATCTTAGAGTTAATGACAGAGATTATGTTGAGACAAATTTCACATTCATAGAAGATTCTGTGATCTTAAGAAGACAAGAAATCCCTGTAAAATGTACTTTTATAATATATAAAAAATACAAACATTATCCAAAATTTGAAAAACATCTTTAAAATATATATGATTACCAAGGGTATATTCCTAAACATAAATTTACCTAAATCACGATCCGATAAAAGTTCCTTTTCCAGCTGCTTCATGTAATCAGCTTGTTCTGAGTTCTGTGGAAATGAAAACAAACATTATACATGTATATCATGATTACAAAATGTAGGAAAAACAACAAGGATGTCAATAAAATCAATATTATGAAAATGAAAAAGAAAGATGACAATAATTTTTACAGCTAGTGGTTGTCCAGGGACAAATGATACATAATTTTCCCACTTAAACAGAAAAAATTAACATGTTATATATGGGGAATGTCATTTTACTTGCTTGTTTGGTGGAAAATATCATGACATTTGAAAATGTAGATAAACCACTGACAGTTATTATGTTAAAATGTTTAAGTCCTATTCCTTTGATGTGATGTCTTTTCCAAACATTTCTTCACTGTACATAATAATGTGTTGTATTTTACATAGTAAGTGATACAGTTTACCTGTCACACTTGGTCTTTAAGCCAATCATGAATGATAACATTTATCGCCATAAATTTATCAACGTACATTGCTGTAAACCAGAATTATATCTCTTGTAATTTCGATAATTATGCTTTTTTACTGTAGATTTATATGTATAGTAACATGTGATATCATGATATGTACAAGATGTTTAACAGTGCCTCCAGTAATAATACATATGTCCCATATATTTATACAAAATGGATTCCACTTCGCCTATGAATGCTTTAGACCTAATCTGGGCAAAATTCAATCATCCTTACAGGAGGAGTAGGATTTTAAAGAATTTGCTCAATTTACAGTATTGGACTCTGCCAAAGTGGCCATACGGGGCTGATAACTAAGGTTAATAAAGCATTGATTCCCCTTCACCGAAGAATGCTTTAGACCAACATTGTGCAAAGTCCAGTCATTCCTACAGGAGTAGGATTTTAAAGAATTTGCTCTATTTCCCTATTGGGCCTTTCCCTCCCCAGAGGGCTGAGACCCACCATTTATACAAAATTGATTCCCCTTCACCTAAGATGCTTCCGACCAAATTTAGGCAATATCCAAGCACTCCTACAAGAAGAGTTGCATCATAAAGAAATTGCTCTACTTCCCGCGATTGGGCCCCACTCCTCCTGCCCAGGGTTCCCTTTCACCTAAGAATGCTTCAGACCAAATTTGGAAAATATCCAAGCATTCCTACAGGAAGAATAGGATTCTAATGAATTTGTTTTATTTTAAAATTTCTCTTTATGTGTCAGTCCCTCAGGCCCCTGAGGGCTGAGACCCAGGATTTTTAGGAAAAAAGTTGATTGGCGGATGCCACAGAATGCCATAAGCTAACAAGGGTCTTTGGGCCAGGTGGACAAATAATCTGTTCAAAGAATGACAGTTAATGCAATGATAATGGTAATGAGAGCTGATGGACAGTCCAATAAAAAGCCTCCACTTGTTTACTTATAATCATATAGCCATAAGTTAAAGTGAAAAATACAAAATCTGCCTTAGTGTGAAATGCTTATAGTTTAATGTTTATAGTCATGCAATATCTAGCTGTCAGTATTACTGTTTGAAAACATTGTTTTTCTTGCACCATGGTTTTCTCACATCTTTAATTAATAACTGCATTAATCAAGTCGATCAAGAGACAAACCACAAAAAAAAAAAAAACATTTTATACAATATCAACATAATTACTACAATACTAAATATACATTGAACCTCTTGTTCTTCTTTCTCGGACTCTGAGTCCTCATATGCCACCTTGTCAAAGTCAATCTTCAGCCAGGGCAGCTTAACTTTGTTATATGTAAGTCTAGGCCAAATCTCTCCATCACCACTCTTCTTAATTTGAAACTCAATACATCTTCCCATCACTCGATACTTGCTTTCCTGCATCAATAAAAATGTTTGTGTAATTGTTGTGCATCAATTGTACCATTGGCAATCATTTCAGTTTTAATAAAAAAAGAAAACAAACAAAAAAAAACTAAAAGTTTACAATTAATGCATGTGACCAAATAATCAATAAGAAAACATGACAAATATTTCAGTGTTACATACATCTATAAATCAATTACCTAACAACATGTATATAACAAGGTTTTGTAGATTACAACCAGATAGAAAATCTCCATATGCATTTCCATTAAGTGACTATTCTCTTTCGCCTTCACTGGAAAAAAAATCTATTTGGCTGTGATGTGCAACATTTTATTCTCATATATTTCATACATTTACATGGGTTTTTTTTTTTGTAACAATATGCATAAAAGCTGTGCACATCTTGAATTTTGAACAATTTTGTAAAATAAGGTTTCAAAATAGGAATTCAACACAAACTAGAAAGTAAAATTGTTTAACTAGGATAGCTATACCTCTGGGTCAACAGGATGGTAGAACTCAATGTCGATTCCATAGTAATTCTGACCTCTCACTCCAAATCCTTCTGCATTAAAGGATAGACCAGAGTCTGTCAGTTTAACAACTTCATTCTGGAAAGAAGAAATGTTACAAATGTACCAATATGATATACTATAACATAATACAGGCAACATTTTATTAAATAAAAAAAAACAAAGCAAAGATGTCTAAATCCAAAGGAAATGATTAGAAAATCTAAATTGTCTGAAATAGATATAATTGTAAAGAAGGAAAGACACACTTTTAATCAAGTGAAAACAAAGGAAAGAATTTAAAATAAAAACATGTATTTCAATTGTGCCAATACTTGCATGAACTTAAAACTTACCAAGCAGGCTTAGACTTTTTGTAATTATGAATTCAAAAGTTAAAGCAGTATTGAATAAACTTATATAAACAGACCATGCATAGATCTTGGGTGCTTGAGTGAAGTTCTTCATGGCTGGAATTTTAGATACAGATCACCAAGTACAAAAGTTGCCTCCTTCTACATGTGCTAGTTTTAAAAATATCTCCTATTGACTGTATACTCTTGAACTGCAGTCAAATGTTGTTTTAGTAGTTGCATAAAAGCTTTAGATTCTTTAATTTATACTTGTTTCTGATTAGTGGATCTAATTTTAGTTTAACTTTTCATTCTGTTTAGCTAAACAGCTTCATTTCATTTCTTGAAGTTATATAATTTATAATGGCAATCATTTTTATCACATCATTTATATAAGCATAATGAGATTATAATGTACTAATAAATGCATGCACATATCACTCACTGGTCCTCTGCCAATATGTGATATGTAATTTTAGAAGTGAAGGTTTGCAAAATGAAGCCCTGCTATTCAATATTGGAACCTAAAGTTATTTACATGTACAAAAATGTTCTGTCATGTTCTTCGGTTTGGAGTGCTCCCAAGTATATTTGCACTATTGTTTAAAAAGACCATATGTAGCATACTAGACAATTTTGATCAATTCAAAAGATAAAAATGCAAAAAACCTGATGCTGGATTTATGGGAGTGAGATGTATGATAGGATCTGCTTGAAAGCTTCAACAAAGCTAATCTCCATCATCTGCACTTTGAGGATGTTCTATAATCTGTATGGTGCTGGAGAAGAACATGTCCTGGTAAGTCTAGATTCTGACCTGTGGATCAAGGTACTTTGTGTAGTGGCCTCTATTGAAGCTGCCAGTAGGTACCAGGTATTGTTCTCCTTGGATGTCAACTAAGTCTGTTGATGATTCTATAGAGCATGATTGTCTTGGTGTCCCATAATAAAGTGCTCGACTTGTTAGATATGCTGCTGGTACGTTTCGTACCATTTTGTCATGAATGTGCATATTTATATCTATACCAATGGTATTTGAAAACATGATCATATTTGGTAAAATATTCAGCATTAACTGAATGTTCTAACTATATCAACTAAAGGGGAGACAACTACATTGTGCTTACACACAACTCACAGAATATATTATATACATGTATCGAAAGGAATAATCGGTCGAGTAATGTTATAGAAAATTATTCATTTCATAGTTTAATAATAATCAGACATTGGAACACAGTCTGGATTACATCGAATCAACGTAGATTTATCTGCTGTTTATTTGATTTTGGGCCCGACATGTTCGCTGAAGAGATGCCGAATACGTTATATTAACATTTGTGTAATTTCCTTCATCGTTTCGACAAAGTAAAATGAAACAAAGAAGATGTATTTACTTATAAACTTACTTCCACGTCTCTAAGATCAATCTTTAAAAATATTTGATCAGTTTTCTGTCCCCAGTAAACGAATGGGCTCAAAGCTTCAGCCATGATCAAAGTACGGGAGTGAAAGGTCAAGGACGATTGAAATAAACAAAAAATAAAATCCGACTTATTTCAGTATGTTTTAGTCAAAAATGAAAAAGATCAACTTTTTGTCTGCAAAGAAATGATCATACATATTTGAAATATATATATATATTCCCGGCTTTAAGCGTACGCGCCTGAACACAGTAGGTTCGCAGCACACTTCCGGTATTTCATAGCAGATGATAATTTTGACAACGCTGAGATGCGTGTGTGAGGGATTGGACTCAGCAGCAGTAGCGACAGATATTGTTCTTGCTGCGTCTGGTTTAACACAGACTTTAACGACCATGTCCACGGAAGTAGTTGTGTTTTTAAGAATATCTTGATATGGAATTTAAAAAGGAACCGTTTGAAAACTTCTATGAAGTCGGGGAGGATATCGGAAGGTAAGCAATACCCATACAACATACACTTTAAACGTCAAGGCATGAAAAACTGATGTAACTAAGCACTTCCTGGGTCAGTTTTAATTTTTGAGAGAATGGATGTATGAAGTTTAAAAATTCAAAAACAATCGTTATTCACAAGTGATATTTAAAAAAATCTTAACAGGATTAATCAGAAAAATCAATAGATGAACTCATGCTGTAAGAAATCAGATAGCATATATCAGTGTATTCTGACAGTATATATATTGATTTCCTGCTACTTGTCATTACAGCTATAATAAATGAAAATAGCAACATTTACAATAGTATAAACAGTGCAGTTTAAGCACATGGATATGACACATGCTAGCATGTAAAATGTAGATTAATTATTATTACATGATCCTTATGAGTATAGTTGTAATTTGCATACATTTAATTCTTAAAGAGATGTTAGATTCTTCTTCTAGTGAGTCGTTAATTTTGTTACTTGACTTGCATTAATTCCATTTCTTCGATAGATGCCAGATTAGTTGTTTTATCTGTGACTGCACTCAAATTATTATTACATATATGACAAATTGATGATCATTTTCTATTATTAATGAGTATTGATTTCAATCTGGCAAATATTAACTGATGTATTGAAAATTTTACTTACACTGTTCAACATGAGTTACATTAAAACATGAAGATTTGATAATACATTTTTATTTTACCTGATTTAATTATATTTACTTATATTTCTTTCCTGCTGTGGTTGATCAGTGATTAACGTTGATCGATTATGAAAATGTTATGATTATGAAAAGTCAAGGATTTTGAAGTGATTCTCAATCAAAGAATTTTGTAAATAATTCTGAGACTTCTTTTAGCACAGTGTAATAATCATTATGGCCAGGACACCTATCTAGTCAATGTGAACCTGATATGAACAAATTAAGAGAATGTAAGAATAGTTTGTTCTGTCTTTTAAATGTATTTAAAGTCCAACATTTTTTTGAATTTACTTAAAATGAATGATACTTGAATCTGTTAGCTAGAATACAGAATAAAAAACCTGCATTATGATATGTCTATACAAATAACTGATATAGTTTGAAGTTGACAGCTTTCAATTACTAAAAGTGGCTTAAAGAATAACATATACTAGGTATATAAACTAAAAAATCTTCACCAATGCAGTCTAGATGTGACTGAATTTAAAGAAGGACATGTTTCTATTCCAGAATACTGCAATGCTGTGTATTGATTTTATTCTTGAATAGTGTCTACATTGCAGCAGACTGCACCCAACACAAAACTATCAATTTTCAACATGGTGTAGATCATTAATTATAACTCTTTCTAAAAAAAGGAGACAATTTCAAAGACCTTGAAATTAGGGCCAAAGTGATATAGTTGTCCATGCTTTTCAATTACATGTAATCAACTTTCTAATTCTTGTGATATTCTAATTAAAAAATATTACTACTAGTAAGTAGTAATTATTTAACCCAATGGGAAATTATAGTGTCCAGCAGTATTACTAATATAGAAATTTGAATTCCTTTCTTGAACATGTCAATATGGGTTTTTATATTTGTTAGTATCCAACATTTAAACAATACAAATGAGACTATCTGTTAATCTAATTATATCAATTGCCTTCCAGTAAATGTACAAAACTAGGTACAGTAACAAAAGTTTAAAAATAATGATGTGATAATTCATTTATTTCGTTTTACCATGTGGGATCTGTTGTAGCAGAGCTATCAGTTATTTTGTCTTATTATGTATTACAGAGGTCATCTTTTGGTCATCAAATCAAGTGATATTTAAACTGTTTTTTATCTTCACAAATTAGATATTTAGTCCATTAATTTAAGTCATTGTCTTTTAATCAGGCATATACCTTGTCATTGAAGCACTCGCTGAACTGGAACATTGCAGTGATGATTGTATAATTCCTAAGTCTTTTATTGCATGTCATAAAAACAGTTTTTTTGCTATATGATTAAACTCCAGTACTCAATGCCAATTAAATTCAGAGCAAAAGGTGATGTGTAATGTCTGTGTAACTTATCATCAAGAGGAGCAATGGAAGTCTCAGGACATGTTTGCATATAACTTATTTTGAGTTTAGGTCAGTGAACGTTAAATTGAGTTCCAAATGACCAAGTATTTGACTAGCAATAGTTAACACATTTTAAACATGTTATATGTGTGAGATATGTAGTATGCGTCATGTCAGACTAGGTGTGTAAATGTATACATATGAAGACGTTGGTGTTGGTGCATAAAAGGTATAAGATCTCCATTACGTAGCATATTAATACCAGACAAATCAACAACATATCTAGCTCATCTGAATGACTAAGGCAGAATGATTTACATGTGTGTATATTCTGCATTAATGAAAAATTCTATATAATTTATGTTATCTATATGAATATATGAAGTTTTTAAAAAGCTACTTCTCATTCTCCTTTCATCTCCTAACTTTAATAATGTATTTATAAAAATCATTGAAATGGAAATAACAGCAAGTGAAATGAAGTTACCTACATCATACCTACATCATACATGTCTTTGATACAGAAGACATGCCAATAAATGAAACTTGTTGATAGGTCTACAAATGTATGTTTCCAACACCACATCTTAATTTAACAGACAGGAATTAAAATCCCTGTGCAGTTTTATGAAATCATGTGCATGCAGCATACATGCACTTTTTCTTTTGATAGCTTCTAACAGCAATTTTTGGCAGGGACATATTAGAACTTAATGTGATTTTGCTGTCAGAAATTTACTTTTCTGTTCCAAGAACCTGCTGTTATTAATTTCAGGTCTCTATGGAAATAAGCTGTCCCATCTTAATTTTTAAACCCAAAGGGAAACAAAGATAATGTAATTAGGCAATGCATGTAGCATACCCATATTGATCTCTTGACTTACTCTCAGAGGTGTTTATAACACCCCAGTTTTCGACAGGAACAGGTAGTAGAGGCCCTGCTGTAAAGCCTTTGTGTCAGGTTGTGTGTTACATGGACAGATATGTATCAGCAGTAATAGACTTGTCATTCCTATCTGATCTATCTTCCAATGGCTAACATTTGTGACCAACCCATATCCCTAGGATAGACGTTTTTATCAGGTACCCGACATATATAATACCCTTGCAGCATATTATATAAATCCAAGTCCCAATCTGCTGAATCTGATCATTGCAGGTACTGGTATAGGCCATGAAATACCAGATCTTCAGTCAAATTGAACATAAAATTTTATCACTATGATATAACTATTTTAACAATTTGAATTATTTGTCATGATTCTTTTTTACAGATGGTATTATCATATCTGAAAGTGACATGGTTTTAACAGTGTTTTTTATTTATTATTACTTTTGGCGAAAAATATTCCCCATTCTCCATGAGGAATAGGGAGCTTCATGCAAAACATTTTAAAAATAATGACTGAATTTAAATACAAAGCCAGACAACAAGGAAAGGTAAACAAAAATGGACTGCATAGAACACATTCAGATGCACTTTGGATGAATGTTTCTTGATTCTAAATCCTGGGATGGTACCTATTTTCAGAACAGGGAAAGATGATTTACTATTAGCTCTCAATCTTTATTTAATCAAAAAATGATCAATATCTATTTTCAAAATATTATATAAACGATTTAGTGCATTATTCTGCATAATTACTGTAATTATTGTTTGTTTGGATTACATAATATCATTTTTAAACACTTTGTTATATGTTATAAAGATACTTTCACATTTATTCAAATGGATATATAGAAAGTTTTAAGCTTGGTACAATTTCATCTCTTCAAAATATCATTTAACTTAAAGACAGGGAGTAGACTTATTAAAGGACATGTTATAATAAAAAAAACTTTTTTTTACATTTATGGTAAACTGCATTAGATATCTGTAGGCTTATAAGTACCAGGGTTGGGCCTGCTGCTGGAAAGCTAGAGGTCCAGATCACTGCACAGTAACATTGGCTGAGGCTTCACAGATGGAACTGAGCTTTAGATATTAGATGTATTGATTTTCCAATTCCATTGTAAAGTATAGTACATACATATGTACATTTGGGAGATAGGACAGTTGTAGTTAAACTTTTTTATACATATGGACATGATGGGTTTGATCTTTATCTTTGTGGGTTTTTTCAGTTCAATACAAAACATTAGATAAAGTACATAGAGTGCAGATACCAAGCCAGCCTCCTGTATCAAGAGCTGTACTATTTGCACCTCAAGGGGTTAGGCACCTAATGATTGGCTTAAGGTTACGGGATTTTGACATCAGCTCTTCTATTAATACTGTCTGTCTCCTTTTACTAATTAACAACATTCTCTTGTGTATGCGATATAAATCAGAACTAAATGTTCATCAAATTTGGCTGTAAGAAAGTTCAACATTGTTAAGGTACATATATCACAATGTTGTTCATGAGGAATGAACACCTGGTTGGGGGTGTAACACTTATCCCATTATTTAGGCAATGAAGTTTTTATCAGGGAACTTTTACACAACAGAATCTTTCCTTTGTTTCCTTGACACCTTTAGATCTAGTTTATCTGGCTATAAAATCAACCATTTTAACTACAGCACTACTTTATCAAAGATTCCATACTTAGGTCTACTTTCAAGGTTCTATATTTTTAGAAATAGTAATCCACTTATCAGCTGCACTTTATACTGAAGGCCAGTTTGCTATTTTATTTGATAGAGTGTGGAGGTATAGCTTTATTGGGGCTATCTCTAATTGTAAAATATTGATTAAAGAGTTGATTACCCATGTTTTTATACCATCTGAATATTTCAAATGTATGAGTTTATTCATTTATGAAATGAAAGCTGTTTCTAAGAATTTTAAAGATTTTTGTTTCCCAACAAGGTCTAATCAAGGAAAATGAAAGTTCATTACAACAATCCTTCACAACCTTATATGTTATATGAATATTATAGGTAACATTTCCTAATGTTGACTAGCACATGTTATATAAC